AATTGGGTGGTCAAAAATTTCTGCCAGGAAATATTTTCTAAGCAAAGCCAAACCAAAATAAAGGAAAAACCCATGTGACAGCCTAAGTAAGTGCAAAAGATAGAGAATGTAATATCATTTAAGAAAATTGTGAACAGATTCTCTATTATTCAACTTACTCATTCATTCACATTAGTGTTCATCAAAGTAATAATGTAATAACAAAGTATAAGTTAAGGTAAAAAGTTGAAACACATTACAAATTAAGTAATTGTTTTATATGAAAAAATAAAAAAAAGTTAACAGTATCACATTACATTCTAACCAGAGTACTGTACATATGGTAAAAACATTGAAATTCGAAAGGGTGCGTGGTCAAACCAGTGTGTCTGAGGGGTCTGAAAGCAAAAGCAAAGTTAAAGTCTTAACTCAGTAGAGAGATCAGACTATTGTGGCAGTGTTCAGTCATTGGTGTGTGTGCGGTGGGTGAGGGTCGTGTCAAACAGAAACCTTTGCAGTGTTTAAAGGGCCCAGTTGAGAGAAGACAATGAACAAAATGCGGCACATACTGATCAAATCAAATCAATCAATATATGAAGATGAAAAAAAATAACGTACAGAAAAAAAATATTAGCAAAAGTACCACAAATATACCATAACCAAATCAATCATATCATAAAATACTTATGAAACAATTAATACTCTCAGAAAACTCCTCATTAATGCCTTCACAAGCATGCAAATTCTTTTCAGGCTCTCCGAGTATATCCAACGATATCTTCAATACACAACCATTACATACAGAGATCTACTTCAATATAATATTTTAAACACAATCAAAGAGGAGAGAGAAAACACAGAAAAGAAAGGTACCTTGACGCCCCTTTTCGCCTGACCCTCTTTCTACAGCTGTATCCCAAAGATGCGCTTCATATCTGCCAGTCCACCTGTGCCTGAAATCAAATCCATAGTAATAAAAACAAAACTTGGAAAATGTGATTGTACTAAACATACTTTTAATGTTAACAAATACCTAAAAACAAAAAAGAACCCATTAATGTTTCAGGGGTTAAAAATCCCAAGAACTGATGAATTACAGCTAACGATTAATGTTTAATTACAACTTACCTAGTGACTCCTCTGTAAATGGAAGTCCTTTGACCAAAAGTATCAGCGACCTTTCTGGTCGAATCAGAATCACTGAACAAATAGCCTTCTGATAGGCCAGTTCTGATATTAGTATTAGTACCATTATTATTATTGCTTTTAACCCCCAGGGATAAACCGCCATAGAAGGACAATTAGTGAGCCCAACTCGCTCCCAGTGGACTCAATAGAGTGGTCATTAACTCAGCCCCAGCAAGCTGAGTTGTCCTACCCATGGAAGATGAGTCATCAACTTCCGATCCGAGTTAGCCGAAAAGGCTTGAAACCCAGCAATTGCTTGTGAATCTTGATGACATTGAAGAAAGCAGACGCCGAACTATGGTCATAAATATTAGTCAAGACAGAGTCCTGGGTCCGGTTTGGCTGTGAACTATGACGAAGAGTCGCCAAAAAAGTCCTCCAGTTTTGGAATTGGGTGAGTTTGAGTTTGGGTGGATATATAGGTTGGCAAAAGAGTTGAATCCACCATGCTTGTTGGTAGAAATTCTTAACTTCCCGTTGTCGTCCTCAGAAAAGAACACTTGAGATTTAGTGGTTGCCCACCCTACAACAGATGTCAAAAGAACGATTATAATGAAAACAAGGCACAAAAATAAACGAGTTAGATATGTTCACCATAAACATGCCTGTTTGGCTGCAGAAAACCGTGTGAAATGGCAGAGAATAACAAGTGGTACCAGTTTTACAATGAAAAACGGTTTAGAAAAAAGAACAATTTTTGCTAGAAACAAACAAGATGAATAAGGATTCTAAGATTTCTCTGTAAGCAGATTTGAGTCGGTTGCTCTCATATAAGCTATAAAATGGTACTAAGGGCTAGAAAACGACCAATATTAATCACTATGACTGTTTTAGAAAACTTTAAAGATTTACAGGAAAAAGACATGCATTTAATTTGTTAGAAAGAGCAAGAAATTGATAGTTAACCAGAAGAAAAAAAAAAAAAAAAAATAGCTGTAGTTACCTTAGCATAGAAGTTATCGATGAAGTATGAGGCGCAGTGAGGAACCGTCATAGTTTAAAAACTGTGAGTCAGATGATGATGAGACCTCAACATCTCCATTGGAGAAAGGAAAACGAAAGCCAATTAGTCACCGGAGCCATAAGTAGTATAGGTATATATAATATTATATATACACTTGCACAACCACACTCTTCTTTATTTTTCCTTCTCTGAAATCTGAACAAAACCACAAATAAAAACAAAATTTTTCTCAGGAAAAAAACAAAATTCTATAAAAGCACACCCAACAAACTCAAAACTGCTACTTACCTTAACAAAACACAAGCGTTACTTAATCAAAACAGCCCCCTTTCCAAACACTATACGATAATCACGAAGCTTAGTGGTTAATGAGCTAGGTACAATGTGTCATTATCGTAAGTGTAACTGAAGTAGTGAAGGAAGGATGAATAGAATGCATGCAGAGAAAGAAGTGAGAGTGAGAGAGCAATAAGAGAGGAAAAGAAAGAAATGCTGTGATGGGTTATAATGAGAAGAGATAGAAGCGGTTTCAGAGCGAACCGGCGTAAAACCAGAGAGGTTTTGTTTTTGAAAGAGAGAGAGATTAAAAATGAAAATAATAAAGAAGGGAAGTAGGCGGGTGTGTGACTTTAGCTCGCGCAGAAGAAAATTTGTCTGAAACAACGTTGCGAAAGATCCGGGGTGGTGGAATGGAGAATTTGTTAGGGTTATTACAAATATTTTTTTTTTTTTTTACTTTTACTAAAAGACCTTTGTCTTTTTATTTTAACAAGTGATATTAATCATACACTTGTCCTACATGCAGCTTTCCACCTTCCCTACCATTGCATCCTCTCCATCTCATTTTTTTTTTTTTTTTTTATATTTTATGTGCATATCCATTATATCATCATTTGTTGATTTTATTAACTTTACCACGTATTGGAAAGAGTAATTTTGTCTTTTATTATATTTATGGCAGGAAAATAAATAGTGAATTACTTAGTGGTTGAGTTTCAATAGAGATTTTTTAACAATTATTAAATGGATTTGATTTTAACTCGCTCTTTTAATTGTAATAACAATAAATTGAAACTTTCTCCCTTTGATAGTTTTATGAGTTCCAATAATTAGTTAAGGTGCTAAGCTGTCACACACCATCATAAAAAAAAAAATAATAATAAACAATAATAGTAACTAATTAAAAATGTACCTACACTTGACATTAGAGAAAATTAATCTATAAATTTAGATATCCTCTACCAAAAATAAAAATTATTGTTTAAAATATGATGTAGGGATGACATTAAAATATAAATTGTACCATTAGATTAAATTGTATCAAATATTTAATTTAATATTCTAAAAACCCTTAATGCTTTATTTTGTATTTATGTAGAGCTATTTTATCTTTTATACAAGAATTAATGGAAATTCAATATCAAAATATTTTTTTTTAAATTATGATTTTAAACAATTGAGAAAAGGTAATTACATGAGAATGTTATAACTTAATAGAGTTGTAATTACAAAACTATTTTTTTAATTAAAAAATTATTGTTTTCATTTTATTTTATAATTATGTTTTAGTAGTATTAAGATTTCAATTCATTGTTTTTGTAACATTAGGATAGTGCGGATAGATAGCAAGAGTATTGTAGAATGAGTGATCAAATTCAAACTTCATTATATTAGTAAAAGATATTAATGTCTTCTCAATCATTTAAATGAGAACAAGTATGTATTTAACTAAAGAAAAATCATTACTATATAGACAAAAAGAGAATAGATATCCTAAGGATGATATACGAAAATACCAAAAATTTCATGCCAAGAAACTTTAAACATCTTCAGAACTAAAATGTTTTGGCTTCAAAACGAAGGCGTTCATGCTCCGACTATTATGTACCCACAAGATAAAAGATGTGATAACAATTTAAAGTAAATCATTGTCCAAACAACTTTAAAAATATATTATTTCATCTTAACATTTAATGTAATATAACATATATTTTTTAATATAATATAATAATTATTACTATGTATAGTCAAGTTCTTAAGACGAAACTAAAAAAATTATAATTTATACAAGTGAATTTATTCTTATTTTTAACGACTAATTTCTGTGGAACATAATTTTTTATGACAACATAGATGTCTAATATAATATATATTATATTATATATATATATAATTATATATAATATATATATATAATTAGAATTACATTTTTAATTTATCATTAGTATGTATTAAATTTTTGTAACTTAATTCAATAATGATTTTTTATAAGCTTGTTACTTATAGGATACAAGTGAAATCAAAGGACCATCACGATACATGTTCAACAAATAATGGATGCGTATATATTTTAAGAATTCAACATAGTATGATTTATAATTTGAAATCTAAAAAGAAAAGCCTGACATTACAACTACTTTTATTTAATTATTTTAAAAAAATAAAAAAAAAAAAAAAAAAGCAAAAAATAAAGGTGAAAATGGAAACTTTCTCGAAAGAACTCATCCCATGAACGGATCTAATTGACCATCAAATCAAATAAAAGAAAAGTAATGTTGAGAAACCACCAATTCCAGTGAAAAGAACAGTTAAATACCCAGTAAAAATGAAGCCACAGGTTAATTTTTTCAATCCTTTCACATTTCCTATTCAACTTCCTTCAAGTATTGGCAATTGATTTTTCTTCCTGAAACAACTTATTAGCTGAGGGGTCCCTCTGATAATGTTTCCAGATCTCTTATTAAATGCAGCAGGGGATTCATTCAATGTTGAAAACCAATTTGATTAGATTGAATCAGTTTGTACCAAATTTATTGCCTCTTTTTGGTTAAATTATTCGTTTAATGATGGTTCTGAACCATTTTCGTAGAAAACTTAATTGGGAAAGGGGGACATGCAGAAGTGTACAAAGGGTGCTTATCCGATGGTCGATTTGTAGCAGTAAAGAAGCTAATAAGAGAGGAGAAAGAAGAAGAGGATAGAGTGAGCGATTTCTTGTCGGAGCTTGGGATTATTGCACATATAAAGCACGAAAATGCAGCTCGATTGATTGGTTTCAGCACCGAGAATGGTTTACACCTTGTTCTTCAATATCTACCAAAGGGCAGCTTGGCTTCACTGCTTTTTGGTAATATTAATATATAAAACATATGCCGTTTATTTAACTGCTACTATAGCTTTCAGTTTAAGTAATGAAAAGGAGAAATTTTGTGATTTCAGGATGTTCTGCACAGTGTATAGAATGGAAGATAAGGTATAAGATAGCTTTAGGGGTAGCAGATGGACTGAAGTATCTCCATCACGACTGTCATAGGCGTATCATTCACAGAGACATCAAAGCCTCTAATATTTTACTCACTGATGACTTTGATGCGCAAGTTAGTTCATTTTCTCAACCACCAATTCCCAACTTTCTTTCACAAATTTTTGTTTTGAATGTGCATACATAACCGTCTGATTTTAATTTATTTCAAGCAGATTTCTGATTTTGGACTGGCTAAATGGCTTCCAGAAAATTGGCCTCACCATGTTGTCTTTCCAATTGAGGGAACATTCGGGTTTGTTAGTGCTTGGAGTTAACATCTATTATTTCCAAAATTATGATTATTGTGCTTAACTATTAAATTGGACTGCAGTTATTTGGCTCCAGAGTATTTTATGCATGGAGTTGTTGATGAAAAAACTGATGTATTCGCATTCGGGGTCTTATTACTAGAGTTGATAACTGGTCGTCGTGCAGTTGATTCATGTCGACAGAGCCTTGTGATATGGGTAAGATACGCTTACACTAAATCAAAATCAATTAAAAAAAATAATAATAATCTGTTCTGATATAGTTCAAATTTCTGTACCTCTGTTTTGATCATTCAATTTCAACTAATACAACTAGTCTTATTATATGCAGGCAAAACCACTTCTAGACACAAATAATGTAAAAGAATTAGTAGATCCGCGGCTGAGAGAAGAATATGATCCTACAGAAATGAAACGAGCAATGTTGGCAGCTTCAATGTGCATTCACCATATGTCGATAAATCGTCCACACATGAATCGGGTATGAATAACAAATCATTCATTCATAATCATCAGTCACTATAGAAATTTTCTTCTTTCAAAACATATTTGGTATGATGAATGTGCAAAATGCAGGTAGCATTGATGTTGAGAGGTGAGGATAAACCACAACCACAAGAGTTGAAGCCAAAGCCAAGTGCAAGAAGAACAGTCGTTTTTGACGGTTGTGATTTGCAGGATTACACTTGTGCTAGCTATGTCAATGAGATCAATCGTCATATGCAGCTTGTAATGGAATGATTATATAATTTTATGTATATGTGTTATTGCTTCAGCTGCTGCTGCTTCATTTTCTTTTCTTTTTTAATTTCTGGGTACTTTTCTGTGTGTGAAGTCTATTAAGGGTTTTACCTACCCTAAAGGTGTACAGAGCTCAAATCAAATATTAAATGGTTCTTCCGAGTAGAATCCCGGTTAGATTTTTAAAGTGATAAAAGAATTTGGGTTTTATTTGACAGATATTGTCCGTTTGGACTTCAGGTTTTTTTATTATCATCCGGTGACACTTCAACATAAAACCAATGCTCCAGATGATTAGGCGTCTCAGCTGTTTTATCCTAAAAATAAATAAATCCACACTGAAGACAGTCAGATCCGAACAACAAAAACCGCAAAACCGATGGCCACAGAAATTATGGTTCAAGTGGCTCTCCTCATTTTATCACTGTTAATTATTTATTATATTTACCATTTCTCAAAACAAAACCTACCCAAACTCCCAACCCAGACCCGAACCACGTTTCAAATTGACCGCCACCTGGCTGAAGCCACCCGTCTCCTGAATCGGGCCAAGTCCACACCAGACAAATCCAAGTCCCAAACCGCAGCCAAACACGCCCTAACCGAAGCTCAAATGGCCATTTCTCTTAACCCAAGAGACCCAAAACCTCATATTCTAAAAGCCAACATTCTAGAATTCATGGGTCATCAGAGGTCGGCGTTAAGTTTGCTGGATTCGGCGCTGAGACAGCCGCGCGTGAAGGCACTCGCGGCGAGGGAGCGTGGGGAGCTTTTAGTGAAGAGAGCTGAGTTGAAGCTGAGTGTTAATAAAAGAAGACGAGTGGACTCGGCCGTGGAGGACTTAAAAGAGGCGGTGAAGTTGAGTGAAGGGGGGTGTGACTATAAAATATATTATTTGTTGAGTGAGTGCTACGAGTTCAAGGGTTTGAGAGAAGAGGCAAAGAAGTGGGCTATTAAAGAGGCCTTAAAAGTTGGGCCTGACCCTGGGCCTGTCAGGATCCGGCCCAGTTAATATTATGAGATCCAGATAATCCTCTTTTGCAAGGCCAACTTAAATCCAACCGATTGCTTCAAGAACTTTATTATGGAAATTGATTTATGAACCTCTTATTTCATATTGCATTGCATTGATTGTAGAATTTATAATATGTTACAATTTTTGGATGAGGTGTGCTACTAGTAACACTTGTATTTTTTTCTGTCAAATAATATGTCACAATTTTTGGATGAGGTGTGCTACTACTAACCCTTGTATTTTTTTTTTGGTCAAACCAGTTTACATGCACTTTAGCCCCTCCAAACCCTGAAATTAACAGCCAATAAACCTTCAATGACTATCCCTTATTAATAATTGGAGATTCAAGAATCGCAAACGAACCACCGAACCACTAGAGATAGTTTAAATTTAACACTTGTATCAACACATAATTCTATATATTCTTTAATTCATTTCATCAAAATTGAACTTTAGGGAATTAAATACATGCTAATTGAAATACCAAATAAAACACCAACGCAACATCTTATAGAATGTATTAATAATTTTCATAGCAGCTAAATCGATGCCCGTTCAAAAAGTTGTCCAAGTAACAAGTTACTTACAAAACCCAACTTCCTACTTATATTACTACAACCTTGGCATCAAATAAAAACCTACGCTCCTTCTTACTACTACTTCAAAAGGTTAAAAGCTAATATGAGTGAGACAAGAGTCAAAGTACCAGTCAGCTGGAAGGTCGATGCTGATAAACCAAAAAAAAAACCTGCTGCTATTGTTAGCTTAATTCCATCTACGGTGGAGTTAAAACTTCTTTAATAAGATTGGGGGTGATTAGACTGGGGATGAGACCAGAAATAGATCTCGGATGGTTGGGGCAGGAAGGCCATTGGAGCTGCCACGGGTGCAGCAGAGCCAGGAGAATTGGCGGTGCCAAAGTTTGTGGCTTGGAAGTTTTGGAAGAAGTTTTGCTGATAAAGAACATCAAATGGGATTCCACAAGGGATTGGATTAACTGGATGAAGAGGGGCAAAGTTAATGCTACTGCTACTGCTGCTACACTGTGGTTGCAGATCCTGGTTACGAGTCTGTTTCGGCTCAGTTTCAAGTGAGAGCTTCATGCGCTTGGAAGAACTGCCAATTGGAAGAGTACTCTGTGCAATAGCATCAACGTCATATCGGCTCATCTCGAAGTTGGTCACAGCATTTGCACCACGAAACTTGATAGCTGCTATATCATATGCTTCCGCAGCCTCCTCTTCAGTGGCTGTCAGCATATAAAATGTTGGATGATTATTATTTGGAAAAAAATGGTCCCATAAATAATGTTTTCTATGCAACAGATTAAAATAACAGTAGACATGATAATAAATAAACAGTTATAATCGTGATCCAGCTAGCCGACGCTCCCTATGCTCAAGGAAATGTCAAAAAAGACAGATTTAATAGTAAATTGTTTGACTTTCGTTAATTGATTTCTCAAGACAAAGAACGAGATACAAGCAGTATGAAAAGTCAATCAGATTGAATTTATAATCATCAGAAAAGCCACCATATGCTTCAGGCAATATATTCTCACCAAATGTCCCAAGGTACAAGTCTTTGTTTCCGGCAACACGACCAATCCTAGCTTGCCATCGACCCTGCTGATGATGCCTGCAGAAATTATTGGAATACAACCATTCTTCAAAAAAGGTTCAATCATATTGAACAAACTTTTCGCCAACAAAAATTCAAAAATTTGAAATGGAATGAATTTATTATTCAAACCTTGTGACACCCCTGTACATGGAGGCTCCCCTTGAAAAACCGCTACTCTTCCTACCAATTTACAAGAAAAAACAACTTGATAAACTGCAAATAAAATCAAAATGGAATAAACTAAAGATGGCTTTCCATACCTCCTTAACGAGGCAATGAATTCCTGCTTGGTCACATTTTTCATCTCCTCTAGCTCTTTCGCATAATTTGATACCTGCAGAGACAAACACCAAGCTCTGTAAGCAAGTTCATACTCTAAACTAAGTAGCTTTTCATGCAAAAGCTATAGAATCAATAAGTTGAACACAATTTTCAAAAATAGAATTGTGCATATATAATTACAGGAAAATTGGTGGTTGCTGAAGGACCCCAATATTTCAAAGCTGCCAAATCATATGCCCTGGCCGCCTTATCTTCCATGTCATATCCACCTAATAAATTACATAATTCAATTATAATTAAACCACTCCTACAAAATTCTTCTAATGAAAGCCTAAAAACAGGGAAAACAAAAAAAAAAAAAGGCAAAATATATATCTTACCCAGGTATACTGCAGGCAGAATAAAATGTTGAGTGACGGCAAGATACCCCACAATTCCATATTTCATGGCAGAAAAAAGCATAGAAAGAAAATTAACATTAGACAATTGGGTGGGTCAAAAATTTCTGCCAGGAAATTATTTTCTAAGCACAATCCAAACCAAATAAAGGAAAACCCATGTGACAGCCTAAGTAAGTGCAAAAGATAGAGAATGTAATATCATTCTTAAGAAAATTGTGACTGGATTCTCTATTATTCAACTTTACTCATTCATTCACAATAGTGTTCATCAAAGTAATAATGTAATAAGCAAAGTATAAGTTAAGGTAAAAGTTGAAACACATTAAAAATTAAGTAATTGTTTTATTATGAAAAAATAAAAAATCAACAGTTCAACATACACGTTCTAACCAGAGTACTGTAACATATGGTAAAAACATTGAATTTCGAAATGGGTGCTTTGGTCAACCTAGTTGTCTGAGGGGTCTGAAAGCAAAAGCACAAATAAAGTCTTAACTCAGTAGAGATCATACTTATTGTGCAGTGTTCAGATTCATTGGTGTGTGGCGGTGGGTGAGGTCGTGTCAAACAGAAACCTTATGCAGTGTTTAAAGGGCCCAGTTGATAGAGACAATGAACAAAATGGCGGCACATACTGATCAAATCAATCAATCACATATATGAAGATGAAAAAAATTAAACGTACAGAAAAAAAATATTAGCAAAAGTACACATATATATACCATAACCAAATCAATCATATCATAAAATACTTTGAAACAATTATGTGACTCTCTCAGAAAACTCCTCATTAATGCCTTCACAATGCATGCAAATTTCTTGTTTCAGGCTCTCCAGTATATCCACAGTATCTGTCATACAATACACACACATTCTAATACGAGACATCTACTTCAAATATGATATTTTAAACACATCAAAAAGAAGAGAGAAAAACAGAGATAAGACAGGTACCGGGGGGAAAGGGATTGACAGGCGGGCGGGAGGGGGGGTCTGGGGGGGGCCGTTGGTTCTTCGAGCCAGTGAAAAGGCGCCTGTCACGTGCAAAAAGAATGTTGGTCTGGTACAAGTAGGTTGGCTTTGTTATTCATATAGCGAAGATTGCTGCATTTCAGATTTCAAAAGTGATCTGGCACAGTCACACAAAAAAACATAAGTATGCGCAGTAAGAGACATCGAAGATCCTGATAGTAGTCAATAACAAACACACGTTAGACTAATGTTATTTTAGCTAGCGCTACACGTTTATAACCAATGGTATAACACGATGACCTCCGTAAACAAACCAAGAACGCCTTAATGTTGTGCCAGTGGGTAATACAAAGAGTCCTGGAGTCTCGCGAACGAACAATGATCAAGTCAGGACAGTATACATGCGTAGCGTAAAAATAGGGGGGGGTGGGGTTAAGTGTACACGCGTGTAGCGGGCTCAGTTGCACGCCCTCGTGATAACTCGTTAGAGTCTCCTTATGTGACCAAGAGAGTTATCGCGTGCGCACACGAGAGGGGTGGTGCCTGGTGCGAATACACGAAAGATCACATGAAACAGGCGTAAGCCAAGGTTAAACTGTAATATAGGCACTCGTGCGGCGTTGCTATAGGAATCCAAGGTGGGATACTCAGTGAGATAGGTAAGTAACCGGGGATATATTATGAAGTATGTGCTGTATTCAGCAGACTCGGACGGAAACGGAAACCTAGTGGGCGTAGTAGGGGGCGCGGCGCTATTAAGGGAGGCTAGATCGTGTCACATCCCACTACAGGCGTCTGCCAGTGACATGAGCGAGAGCTATAAATGCCTTACTGCAGGGCCGTGCACTGCTGCTGTATTGTCCTACCCATGGAAGATGAGTCATCAACTTCCGATCCCGAGTTAGCCGAAAAGGCTTGAAACCCAGCAATTGCTTTGAGATCTTGATGATCATTGAAGAAAGCAGACGCCGAACTATGGTCAATAAATTAGTCAAAGACGAGTCCTGGGTCTCGGTTTGGCTGTGAACTATTGACGAAGAGTCGCCAAAAAAGTCCTCAGTTTTGGAATTGGGTGAGTTTGAGTTTGTGGTGGATATTATAGGTTGGCAAAAGAGTTGAATCCACCATGCTTGTTGGTAGAAATTCTTTAACTTCCCGTTGTCGTCCTCAGAAAAGTACACTTGAGATTTAGTGGTTGCCCACCCTACAACAGATTGTCAAAAGAAACGATTATAATGAAACACAGGCACAAAAATAAACGAGTTGATATGTTCACCATAAACATGCCTGTTTGGCTGCAGAAAAACCGTTGAAATGGCAGAAGAATAACAAGTGTACCAGTTTTACAATGAAAAACGGTTTAGAAAAAAGAACAATTTTTTTCCTACGAAACAAACAAGATGAATAAGGATATTCTAAGATTTCTCTGTAAAGCAGATTTGAGTCGGTTGCTTCATATAGCTATAAAATGGTACTAATGGGCTAGAAAACGACCAATATTAATCACTATGACTAGTTTTAGAAAACTTTAAAGATTTACAGAAAAAGACATGCATTTATTTGTTAGAAAGAGCAAGAAATTGATAGTTACCCAGAAAAAAAAAAAAAAAAAAAATAGCTTGGTACCATTAGCATAGAAGTTATCGATGAAGTAGTGAGGCGCAGGTGAGGAACCGTCATAGTTTAAAAACTGTGAGTCAGATGATGATGATGACCTCAACATCTCCATTGGAGAAAGTGAAAACGAAAGCCAATTAGTCACCGGAGCCATCAAGTAGTATAGGTATATATAATATTATATATACACTTGCACAACACACTCTTCTTTATTTTTCCTTTCTCTGAAATCTGAACAAACCACCAAATAAAAACAAAATTTTTCTCAGGAAAAAAACAAAATTCTATAAAAGCACACCCATCAAACTCAAAACTGCTACTTACCTTAACAAAAACCAAGCGTTACTTAATCAAAACAGCCCCCTTTCCAAACACTATACGATAATCACGAAGCTTAGCTGGTTAATGAGCTAGGTACAATGTGTCATTAGTAGTTAACTGAAGTAGTGAAGGAAGGCAGATAGAATGCATGCAAGAGAAAGAAGTGAGAGTGAGAGAGCAATAAGAAGGAAAAGAAAGAAATGTGTGATGGGTTATAATGAGAAGAGATAGAAGCGGTTTCAGAGCGAACCGGCGTAAAACCAGAGAGGTTTTTGTTTTTGAAAGAGAGAGAGATTAAAAAGAAAATAATAAAGAAAGGGAAGTAGGCGGGTGTGTGACTTTTAGCTCTGCGCAGAAGAAAATTTGTCTGAAACAACGTTGCGAAAGATCCGGGTGGTGGAATTGGAGAATTTGTTAGGGTTATTACAATATTTTTGTTTTTTTTTTTACTTTTACTAAAATGACCTTTGTCTTTTTATTTTAACAAGTGATATTTAATCATCACTTGTCCTACATGCAGCTTTCCACCTTCCCTACCATTGCCTCACCATCCATCTCATTTTTTTTTTTTTTTTATTTTATATTTTATGTGCATCATCATTATTACATCATTGTTGATTTTATAATTACCACGTATTGAGAAAGAGTAATTTTGTCTTTTATTATATTTATGGCAGAAAATAATAGTGAATTACTTATAGATGGTTGAGTTATTCATAGAGATTTTTTAAATATTATAAATGGATTTTGATTGATTCCCTCTTTTATGTTAATAACATAATATTAAACTTTTCTCATTGATAGTTTTTAGTTCCATAATTAGTTAAGGTGCGTAAGCTGGTCACACACCCATCATAAAAAAAAAAAAATAATAAACAATACATAGTAACGTAAGTGTAAAAAATGTCACCTACATTGACATTTTAAAAATAATCTATAAATTTATGATTATACCTCTACCAAATATAAAAAATTATTGTTTAAATATGATGTAGGGATGACATTAAAAATATATAACTTGTACCATTAGATTAAATTTGTATCAAATATTTAATTTAATATTCTAAATGACCTTAATTGTTTATTTTGTATTTATGTAGAGCTATTATCTTTTATAAAAATTAATGGAAATTCAATATCAAATATATTTTTTTAAATTATGATTTTAAACAATTGAGAAAGGTAATTACAATGAGAATGTTATAACTTAATAGAAGTGTAATTACAAAACTATTTTTTTAATTAAAAATTATGTTTTCATTTCTTATTTTATTAAGTTTTAGTAGTATAAGATTTCAATTCATTGTTTTGTAGCATTAGGATAGTGCGGAAATAGATACAAAGAGTATTGTAGAATTGAGTGATCAAATTCAAACTTCATTATATTATAAATGATATTAATGTTTCCTCAATCATTTAAATGAGCACAAGTCATGTATGCTTTAACTGAAAAAAAATCATTACTATAATTAGACAAAAGAAGAATGAGATGATCCTAAGGATGATAGTACGAAAATACCAAAATTTCATGCCAAGAAACTTTAACATCTTCAGAACTAAATGTTTTGGCTTCAACAAGAAGGCGTTCATGCTCAGCGACTTATTATGTACCCACAAGATAAAATGTGTAACAATTTTAAGTATAAATCATTGTCTCAAACAACTTTAAATAAAATATTATTTCATCTTAACATTTAATGTAATATAGACTATATTTTTTAAATACATATTAATTATTACTAGTTATAGTCAAGTTCTATAAGACGAAACTAAAAAAATTTAATTTATTACAATGTGAAATTTTTCTTATTTTTAACTGACCTAATTGTTGAACATAATTTTTTATGACACATAGATGTCTAATATAATATATATATATATATATATATATATATATATATATATATATATATAATATATATTAGATTACATTTTTATATTATCATTAGTATGTTATTAAATTTTTGTAACTTAATTCAATAATGATTTTTTATAAGCTTGTTACTTTAGGATCAAGTGAAATCAAAGGACCATCACGATACATGTTCAACAAATAATGGATGCGTAATATTTTAATGAATTCAACATAGTATGATTTATAATTTGAAATCTAAAAAGAAAAGCCTGACATTACAACTACTTTTATTTATATTTTTAAAAAACAAAAAAAAAAAAAAAAGCAAAAAATAAAGGTGAAAATGGAAACTTTCTCGAAGAGAACTCATCCCATGAACGGATCTAATTGACCATCAAATCAAATAAAAGAAAAGTAAAATGTAGAGAACCACCCAATTCCAGTGAAAAGAACAGTTAAATACCCAGTCAAAAATGAAGCACCCGTTAAAAGCACATAACTCTCTGATCGAAAAACAAAAGTGAAAGCTGTAGTTTCCCTCTCTCAAACCCTTAAAAAACACCCTTTTTTTGCAAAAGAAATAGAGACCAGTAACGAGAAAAATGGAACAGTAACCTGATGACAGGCCTACTTTCCTCTGTAAAAATGAACTCCCCTCCCCATTTAAGGTAAGCCATTTGGTAAATGTGTATAAAGTATTTTATTTATATAGCCACTGAAATCTATCATATGCTACAGTTATTTAAATAGGTTTTTCAACTCCAATGCTACCGCCTATTCTCAAGATTTTCTGAATTTTTTTAGATCGATAATTAAATGAGCTCTGTAGTGCCGTGCCACATCAAATCTCGCACCATTCTATCTCTTTTAATTTGATTTTAACCGATGCAGTACAGTATGCACTACTTAAATTTAAACCCAGCTGTCTTTTCTAAACATCAGCACGTCCAATCAATTTAAGAGCTTTGTATTTCCTCTATTAAATATACGCAGTTTTTAAATCCCACCACCATGGACACTGCTTTTACTGTTGTTTACTTGGTTCAAGTTGAAACGTGTCGGTCTGTAGCCGATGGTATGAAGTTATTGATTCCAGTCATTGTGACATTTTTCACTACGTAAACACACATAAATAGTGATATTATAATATATAACTCCAATGCAACTCTTTTCTAATCCTCACCTTCATTATTTTCCGATATCTATATCCAATAAAAGGGAAAACACTGAGGAAATGAATGAACAAATTTATGGTGAAATCTAAAATATATATCGTGGCATTTGATGTTGGTTGTTTGAGAGAAAGGCAAAGGACAAGTGAGGATCCCACCCATATATATTTGGCTTGCATGTATGTATCTGTCTTCCTATTCAGATCATTTGGACATTATGAATACATAGTTAAGTGATTTACATGCATGAAGAGAAACACAACACGTAGAGTTTGGCATTCGTTGAAACTCGGCGGCACGAGGTGGCATACGCAAGCAAGTAGACGTTTTTGTTATTATTATTGTTTCTGGATTCTGGGTCCCGGACGATATTATTTTTGCATGGACGTGGCCTCCACTTGATCATCTCGATATGGACTGTTCTATCACTGTCGTTATCGAAGCATCACGCAACTTTACCTTATTCATGATATTTACTTTTATCTTATACACCAATGCGTCGAGTCAAGATGAATTAAATCTCTAAACTCTTTCTTTTGTATCGGGTTTGAATGTATGTAATCCTGAATATTCCTCAAATTTATACACAAATGGGATTTTCTTTAATTAGTAAAGATGTTGTCGGTTTAATTTAATATAAAAATAGTAGGGAGGAAGAGGAACGCTTATCCTTGCCGCACCAAGTTGCATCCTTTTCCTGACTTTGCTTCTACAATCCTTTAACGGCATGTGACATCACACGTGCGCTCATGCTCTTACCTATTTATATATATATATATAACATTCAACACATTAGCATACACACACGTCTCCATTTCATTTCTACTCACCTACTTTACTTCACTTCAAATACACTTTGATTCTATTCTTATTATTATTTATAATTATTATTCTATGAATTAGATCAGTGAAATCCCTAAACTAGGTTACTCTTAAGAAGAGAGAGATAATTGTTTTACCCAATTGTAGTTTAAACTTTTTTTAACCAAGGTGTTTGGCTAGTTTACACCACATACTAAACTAATCAAAATCCACCATCACGACCCCCCACTTAAATTAAGTATGTTATAGTTTAAACTACTAAAATACATCTCCTAATTGTAATAGACGTTGTAAAACGAGAACTGTAGTAGTAATATAAAGAGAAATAGATAATTTATTTGTCTTTTGTAAAAAAATTTGTTTCAAAGTTAAAATTTGATTAATGATGATAATTGGAGGTAGTATTTCCTATTTTGAAAGATAGGACTTTGATTTATTGTCCAAAACTTAGTGTAGGTTAAGTCTATAGCTGCAAACGAATCGAGTGAGATGAACATCAGGTGTTTGAAGCTCGATTCGTGAAAATGTACTGAGCTTGAGCTCACGAGCTCGGTAAATGGGGCTCGAGCTCAGTTCGGTAGGAGATGACACAACTCAGTACAATTAGATTATATGCGAAACAAAACGAGAACATGCCTTACTTTTGAGTTTTGACAATGCAGAGACAACAAAATCGAACTATTCGAGCCCGACCACCACCCGAGTTGAATTATCTGATGTTTTTTTTAGATATGCAAGCCTAATAAGGCTCACGAGCTTTAAAGAGTCCACAAACCTTAAAGGGTTCGCGAGCGCACAAGCCAACTCGTTAAACAATCGAACTATTCGAGCCGAGCACCACCCGAGTTGAATTATCTTGATGTTTGGGTAAAATACAAATAGATTTAACATAGCTAGTAAATATTTGAATTATCTTGTTAATTTATAGAGATTTATTATAATGTTACAAAATTTTAAAAGAGGTTTAATAATAATAGTTATAGATGTGGGTAAAAAATGAGATGGTTAAGGAGAGAGGTGGGAAAATATATAGGGTAGAAAAAGAGAGTAAAGAGTAACATGGTTGATTAAATTAAATAAATAAAAAACAAGTACTAATTGATTTCATTTCATGTGTTGGATTCTGAGAAATGAAGGATCCTAATCACCCTTCTTATCTTGGCTTCTTTCTACTTTTATTAACTATTTAAAATATTTAATTTAACTCCGCAATGACTCGTGTAATCACTACTTGCTTTTGACCTTTGACTGG